ACAAATATCTTAACATATTTACTATAACACAGTGATCTATTTTTTCCCTCTGAAAGTTTTGAAACTCTTTTTTCTGTTCCTGGTCTTTTTTATTCACGATCTTGTGACTGGGTGTAGGCTTTTTTCGTGTATTGTTCTGGGAATCAGATGAGCTCTTTGTGAAAGAGAAAACCACAGACCCAAAATAGTGTCACTTGTGCTAAAGTCCAAGACAAGAAATCTAGATTTAATATCTGACCCAGTTGCAGTTTTGACCTTCCCCAGGAACGTAGTCTTAATTAATCAGTCTAGAATTTTCTGTTCAGCTCCAATGAGATCACAAGTCCTCTCCATCTCCCCATCATAGGAAGAAGTCATCTGCATGATAGGCCCTCACCTTCCTCCCCAAAAGTGATCCAGCCTGAAACAATTCTTTTTCTAAGGGCTTCCTTGCTCACCACAAGGGTAAAGATAAAAATCTTTCATTTTGCACAACTCCTCAGAGTCCCCTTTCTATTTACAGATGGAATGCTGCCCTATTCAGAAATCACTGAGTAAATCCAATTACATCTTCAAATTTACTTGGTTGAATTTAACACTTTTCAATTTAGAAACATACGTTCTTTAGCTCTAAGAAAAAAATGTATATTGTTTCTTTCTTAACTTCCTCTTTTCTGTTTTCTCTACTCTCTCTTTCTAGAACTTGTATAATTCAGATGTTGCGGTTGCTGGGCTGATTCTTTAACTGTCTTTCTGTTTTATTTCCATCTCTGCCTTTTGTTCTGCTTTCTGAGTTCTTCAACATCATTTTCCAAATTTTCCACTTTCTAAATTTATTTCTGTTATCATGTTTTTTAATTTTCTAGAGCTGTTTCTTATTTTCTGGTTTTTCAGTTTTTATTTGGCATTCTACTCCTGGCTCTATTTTTTAAGGTTTTATTTTATTTTTTCTTTCAGTTTCGAGATATCACTGGCATACAGCACTGCATAAGTTTACGGAGTACACCATAATGATTTGACTTACCTACATCATGAAATGATCATCACAATAAGTGTAGTGAACATCCATCAACACATATAGATACAAAATTAAAGAAATAGAAAAAAAAATTTTTTTCTAATGATGTGATGAGAACTCTCAGGATCTACTTTACTCTCAACTACTTTTACATATAACATACAGCAGTGTTAATTGTATTTGTCATGTTGTACATTACACCCCTAGTACTAGTTTGTCTTCTAGTTGGAAGTTTGTACCTTTTAACCACCTTCATCCAATTCCCCCTCCCCATATCCTACAGCCTCTGGTGACCACAAATCTGATCTCGTTTTCTATAAGCTTGTGTGTTTGTTTCTTTTTGGAGTATAATTGACCTATAAAACTATGTTAGTTCCTATTACACAACATGCTGATTTGGTATTTCTGTACATTTCAAAATGATCACTATGATAAGTCTAGTTATGATATGTCACCATAAAAAGATATTACAGAGTTATTAACTATATTCCCCACACTCTACATAGCTAGCTAGCTATTTATGATTCCTTTAAGTTGCTGGTCTCTTAAATTCACGTGTAACTTAACCAGCCTGAGTTTCTATACCCCACCCCACATTTACAGTTTTTGACATCATGTTTTACATCTTTTTGTTTTGTATATCCCTTAACTACTTATTGCAAGTACAGATGATTTCACTACTTTTGCCTTTCCCCTTTCTACTAGCTTTATACGTGGCTGATTTACTAACTTTACTGTATAGTTGCCTTTACCAATGAGATTTTTCCTTTCATAATTTTCAAGTTTCTAGTTGTAGCCTTTTCTTTTTCACTTGGAGAAGTTCCTTTAACGCTTCTTGTAAAGCTGGTTTGATGGTGCTAAACTCTCTTAGCTTTTGCCTTCCTGTAAAACTTTTGATTTCTCCGTCAAATCGGACTGAAAGCCTTACTAGGTAGAGTATTCTTGGTTGTTAAGTTTTCCCTTTCGTCACTTTAAGAATATCGGGTTGCGCCCCACTGACCTACAGAGTTTCTTCTGAAAAGTCAGCTGATAGCCTCATGGAAGTTTCCTCTTTCGCAACTTGTTGCCTTCCCTTGCTGCTTTTAATATTCTCTTTCTCTTTAACTTTTGACATTTTAATTACAAATGTATCTTGGTGTGGTCCTCTTTGGGTTGATCCTGTCTGGGACTCTCTGTGTTTCCTGGAGCAGGATGTCTGTTTCCTTTCCCAGGTTAAGTAAGTTTTCAGCTATTACAACTTCAAATATGTTCTCAGCCCCTTTCTCTTTATCTTCTCCTTCTGGGACTTCTATAATGTGAATTTTGTTATGCTAGGTATTGTCCTAGAGGTCTCAAACTGTCCTCTTTTTTTTTTTTTTTAATTTTTTCTGTTCTGCTTCAATGATTTCCATTACCCTGCCTTCCAGCTCACTGATCTGTTCCTCCGTACCATTGAATCTACTGTTGATTCCTTTTAGTGTATTTTTCAATTCAGTTATTGTATTTTTCATCTCTGTTTGGTTCTTAATATTTTCTAACTCTTTGTTAAAAACATTTAACTTCTCACTGTTTATCCATTCTTCTCCTGAGTTGTTTGCTCATCTTTCAAATCATTACCTTGGACTCTTTATCAGGTAGATTGCTCATCTCCACTTCACTTAGTCCTTCTGGAGTTTTACCTTGTCCCTTCATTTTGGACTTATTTCTCTGTTACCTCATTTTTTTTCGTTTGCTGTTTTTATTTCTATGTATCTAGGGATTGGTTACATTTCCTGACCTTGGAGAAGTGGCCTTTGGTAGGAGATGTCCTGTGTGTCCCAGCAGCACACTCCTTTGGTCATCAGAGCTATATGCTTTAGAGTGCACCCTGTTTGGGCCCCATGAGTCCTTATCTTGTGACAGGCTGAGTACTGTGGGTGGTCTGATAGGTGTGGCTGGCCCCCAGTTGGCTGCCAGGCCTGTCTTGTGCAGAGGCTGCTGGCCACTGGTGGGTAGGGCTGGCCATGATGCTGCTGGCTCTGTAGTCCCAGGAGGCCCAGGGGCTAGTCCTGGCCCACTGGTGGGCAGAGCTGTGTTCTGAAGTGGGTAGTTATGGGGCCAGGGTTCCCAGATCTAGTGTTGGTCTGCTAGTGAGTGGGGTTGGATCATGGGGCAACTGGCTAAGATGTCCAAAGTGTCTCAAAGCTGGTATCAGCCTGCTGGTAGGTGAAGCCACGTCCTGGGACTAGTGCAGGCTCACTGTGAGCACATCCGGATCTCAGGGTCTCTGCCTGCAAGGCCCAGGGGGTCCCAAAGTTGATGTTTCAGCCTGCTGGCAGTTGGGGCTGAGGCCTAAGGGGTCCTGGTGCTAGTGCTTATCCACTGGCGGGTGAGGCTGGTCCAGGGCTAGTGCCAGCCCACTGGTGTGAGAGTCTGGGTCTTGGGACCTCAGGAGGAGGTGCCTGTGGGCTCACGAGGCCTTAAGGAAGTAGGCCTGCTGGTAGGTGGGGCTGTGTCACTCTCTGCCCAGCTAGCTGCTTGGCCCAGGGCATGCCAGTACTGCTGCCAACAGGCTGGTGGGCTAGGCCGGGTCCCAGTGCTAATAAGCTAGAGAGAGGATTCCAAAATGGTGCTTGTCAGCACCAGTGCCCACGTGGTAGAACAAATTCTCCAAAACGGCTGCCACCAGTGTCCATGAACCCAGGGTGACCTCCTGCCCCTCCAGGAGGCTCTCCAAGATCAGCAGGTAGGTATGACCCAGGCTCCTTTCAAATGACTGCTTCTGCCTTTGGTCTCCGGGTGTGTGAGATCCTGTGTGTACCCTTTAAGAGCAGAGTTTCTGTTTTCCACAGCTTTCTGGTTCTCCTGAAAGTAAGCCCTGATGGCCCTCAAAACCAAACATTTTTGGGGCACATCTTCTCGGTGCAGGAACCCTGGGCTACAGATCCTAACATGAGGCTCAGATCACTCACTCCTTGGGAAGAACATTTACAGTTACAATTATCCTCCCAGCTGTGGGTCACCCACCCCAGGGGTGTGGGTCTTGTCTATACCCTGTCTCTGCCCCTCCTACCCATCTCATTGTGGCTCCTTCCTCATATCTTTAGTTGCAGAAGATCTTTTCTGCTAGGCTTCTAGTTTTTCTCATCAATAATTGCTCTGTAAATAGTTGTGATTTGGGTGTGCCTGTGGGAGGAGGTGAGCTCAGGGTCTTCCTACTCCACCATCTTCCATTCTATTCCTGTTTTTAAATGCAATGTCTTCTCATACATTTCTAAGAATATTAAATATAGGTTTGGGGAGGGGGTTATTTCATTTTCTCTTGCTCCCTGCATTATCTCTCTCCAAAGTTCCTTTTTTTTTTAAATGATTCCATTTATTTAGAGACTATCTTTCATAATAGAACATATTTATCCTCAAATATTTTGTGATCCCAGCTGTCCATTTATATTTTGGAATAAATCACTAACTACTTGACCAGAAGCTTTGTGTGTAATGGGTTGTCAATCCTCATTGTAAGTGAAATAGGAACCAAGGTAATCAACTGAGTCAAAATAGAAGAAGAGAGGTTCAGGGTATCTCTCTCACCTGAATTATACTTTTGGTTGCGTTGTTTGTATATGATTCAAACTCTAGATCAACCTCTTTAGCACTTCAGAGCAGCTCGCTGTCAGGACCTCCCAGAAAAGACTTCTTTTTAAAATTTCTTTCTTTTGCTAGCTGTTGATCATTCAAGGAAATTTTAAGATAAAGATTCCATTTTCTCCTTTTTATCAAAAGCAGAAAGAAAAAAACACACACATACACACACACACAATGGTATAGACCCCAGATTTTTATGGAATTTCCTGATAGTCTTCAAATCTTAAGGAAAATATTCTCAACTCTCATCTATTTAGTAATTCATTCATTTAAAAAATGATTGAAATATCTACTGTAAGCTAGGAATTCTATTACCCTTTTGGTTTACACTTGTGAACAAAACAGATACAGTTCTTATCCTCATAGGCTAAATGTCTTGTGGGGGAAGCAGACAACAAACAAGTAAATTAACAAATAAATATATATTTGCAAATAGTGATAATTTGACAAAAATCAAACAGGGTACAATGACTGTGAATAACAGGGAAGATCTACTTAAATAAGGTGGTCAAAAGGTTGCTCCCAGGAGATGAAATTTGAGTTGAATCTGGGCCCTCGGTGCCTATTCACTCAAATGTTAGCAAAAGGTAACATATATGCACAATATTTAATAATTTTATTAATTGTTTTATTATAATATATTAATTATGTTTCAGACTTCAATTTTTCTTATATGAATAAGCCCTCTTTTTTGTGAACATTTTAAAACACAATTAAATAAAGCACAAACAGATTATTTTAAACAGAAGATACGTAGCAGTTTCTAGGTTGTTTTGAACTCAATTTGCAAATGAAATCAGTTTTATGCCTTCATCAGTACAATGTCCCTCTCTCACTCACTCACACCAGGAGATGCTGGTATCAGGTCACACTCCTTTATCTCTGTGTAGACTTCCTTATCTCTGTGTCTCACAGGATGACCTCCTTTTCACATTCCTCTTCTTGGCTTCTCCACATGTCAAGGTCAAATCTATTCAATATGCCAAGCTCCCAGGATCAAAAAGAGAAGAAATTCTTTCCTCAAGGAGCAGGGTAGGAAGGAGGCTGAATGAACAATGACCACAGGTTAGAAATAGGGTAAGAGGAAGAGAAGAAAAGAGACGGGAAGACAAGGAAACAGGGGAAGGAGTTTTTCAGGAAGAAAAGTCAGAGATGTGGACTAGAGGACCCTTGAGGAAGCCAAATCTGGGGCTGGAGCTGAAATGTCCATCATTTCATCAGAGCTGGACAGGGAGGGAGAGTGGGGATGTCTGAAGACAATTATCCTGTTTCCTTGTGTCCTGTTACAGGCTGCTCCTTAAATACTTGTCAGATCCACATTTTGAACACCTATTACACGCAAAGAAGGGTGAGCGTGGACTTTGTCACCTTTCAATGGAAGAGACACACACACACACAAAGGCCATTATCCAGCAAGAGCAGTGCTCTGCTAAAGTCATTTACTAGGGATGGCTGCAATCTGTGACGATTGTAACTGAGTTCCCTGAGGGGTGGGAATTTATCCGGACCTCTTCTTCATTGATTTCAATGACTAGAACAACACAGGGCGCCTTTAAAATGCTCTGTAAATGTGTGTTGCTTATGAGTGAAGAGGTATTGTTAT